TGCTTTAGGCACGCTATTTTAATAATTTACTTTCCTAAACTCGGGTGCGCATTTCATGTGACCCAAATCCAAATCCTAACAACGTTAAATAAAATATGTCGCGGATCGCGGGTGCATTTCATGTGGCGTGATCCAAAGACGTATTTTGTATAACGTTGAAATCTTCCTAAAAATGATTGAGGCAAACGGGGTTGAGATTTGGAATGTGGATGAGAAAGGGATTACATGGTGTTGCTTTTGGGGTTAACTAGGGTCAGCGCCGCCGGACACGGCAGAGGCAGCGCTAGGGTTTTGATTATTCGAATAGTGTGGGTGAGATTTAAGGGAGATGGGGCATGGATTTGGAACAAGGAGAGGAAGGCGGTCAAGTGGTGTTAATTTGGTGGCCATTGGGTGATCACCGCCGGCGGAGGCAATTTCCGGCTGGCGGTGCACGATGGGAGGCGGTGGCGTTACAGGGGAGGCTTGGAGACGAGGAGGGGTAGGGGGGAGGGGTTTCAGACACTTATATATTATTGACACGGCCAGTTCCTGTCCGTTGGATTAAACAAAATCAAGGGCTGGGATTCAACCCCCGTTAAACGGGGTCGTTTGGTGTTACTGGGGGTGCTGGACCGGGTTGGACGCGGGTTTGGGCTGGTATGACCGGGTTATTGATTAGGCTAGTGAATTTAGAACACAAATCTGGCCCAATTTTGGGTCTTTAAAATAAAAGACTCAATTTCTTTTGATTTTTTTTCTTTTCAAATTAAAACTAAAATCTAAATTAATTCTAAAAACTATATTAACCTACCTAATCATATTAAGTCCTAATAAACAATCAACATTATTAATAAAATACCAGTATACAGAAAAGTAATAAAGCTAAAATTCAAACCAAGCAAAACAAATCAATTTTTGTGATTTTTGTATTTTTCGTAAAATCCTAATTACTAATTAAAATATGTAAAATTAAATCCTAAATGTAATGCATATTTTTTGTGTTTTTTATGAATATATGCACAGACAAAAATGCAAACAATTAACAAACAATGTTAAAAATCCACAAAATTGCAAACACTGGAAGAAGTTGTTTTGTTTTGAATTTATGGGAGTAATTCATATAGGGCAAAAATCACATGCTCACAGCTGCCCCTCTTTGCTCGGAAACACGAAGAGTTTTCGTGCAAAGCTAAGTGAACGGATACGAGCGATTTTTGCCCGTTTGAACATTCCGTATGAAGCATTTTGAAGGAGTTGACCGCACCTTGCTTCTTAGGTTGCCTACATATCCTTGGCTAAAAAGGAATCAGGTCAGTGTAGTTCGGGAATGTCTGGTAGCTGGGACTACCATGAAGCTGTGATTTCGTTGTTGCTGTTGCTGCTGCTACTGCTTACTGAACCTTCTTATTACACCATGTCAAAATAAAAAGAAGTTAGACTAAGCTATGATCTATGAATTACAAAAATCCTATCTAGATCTTCAAACTTGCTCTTGTATTTCTTGTTTCCTTGTTGTCTTGTATTCTCTCGGTGAAATCCATTGTTGCCGCTTTGAATTGTATACTGAGATGTTTTCTCTTTCTCCGGGTAGATGCCTGACTGCTGAACTTGATAAGTATTCCTCTGCTATACAGGCGGGCTCCTGACTTCAAAACTTGAAATGTATTCCTCTGCTATCCAGGCGGGCACCTGACTTCAAAACTTGAATGTATTCCTCTGCTATCCAGGCGGGCACCCGACTTCAACAAAATAGACAAAAACGAGGAAAATTTTCTGCCCCAGTTTGGTAGCTGGGCACATGGGTGAGTGTTAAACATGAATCATTCTACCAACTATTGCTAAAATTTGAAAACTAAGCCCTATTATCCAGGGAGGTCCCGACAACTGACAATTACAGATCTAAGCTGCATCTTCTAAAGGTATTACTTCCGCTAAGTTCTGTTATCTAAGAGGGTTGTAAACTACATCCTATTATCCAGGAAGGCCCTGACAACTCCTAATTGAATCTTATCTTAAACATACAAACATTGAAACCAACTTATATTCCTTTGGGATACACTTATGCTAATTTACGCTACTCATGATTGTTTTGAATTTTAACTAAGCCACATTTTCCAGGAGGGTCCTGAGAGTTTACGGTCAAACCTGTTTTGGTGCTTGCTCTTTCCCCTACGGAGAGTTTCTTCGAAACAAACGAAATTTTCTGCCCCTGTTTAAATCAAAGAAAAATCTTGTCAGTTCAAAAAGTGGTTGGTTTGTGGCCTTGAACTTTGAGGGAGATTGCTCCTTCACTCCCATGGTGACTGATTTCCACTCGAAGACCTTGCTTCTTTATAGACTAACCCCTTTTTCTGTTGTCCTCATCACATAAAATACATTTTCTCTGTTCAGACCCAATATCCTCTATCTATTGCACTGCGTGAACTGGCAATCAGTCCATAAACAATCACGTGCTTTCAGCTGCCCCTCTTTGCATGACTATTGTTATTCGAATTAATTTTTATTTGTTAATTTATTATATTGATTTATTTATTTAACCCTGTGTTTAATTATTTGATTGCTTGATCACCAATTGAATACTATCTACGAATCTAGAATTGAACTCGAAAGTAGGAATTCTATATTGCACATAGGATTGAGTAGAGCAAGTTCTTGAACCCGGGCATCGGGGAGTGGATTCGCGATTAGGATAGACATATGCTAATTGCCTTGCTTGGTTATTTTACGGAAATTATAAATGCATTCTTGTTGATTCTACCTCTATGACATATATGCGTTGGGTTAGCTTGAATCGGCGAGTAGGAGATCGACAGATTCTTATGAGCGATATTAACCCCGTCAACCAATAAATCAGATAAATTAATTAATCAATTCAATTAAAGAATACAGTAGGTTTGCTAGGTAGCCCATGACCCTAGATCATTTTCATTACATTGATATCATAATAATCTGCTTTTCCTTTGTTCAAAGCTCACTATTTGTTTTTTTTATTTTAATAAGTTTAGATTCACATAATTCTAGGTTTAATTCTTGTTCAGATAATTAATATAGTTTAACTTAGGTAATAGTTGATAACAAGTGCTCGTGGGTTCGACATCCAACTTTTAGTCACGTTATTACTTGACGACCGCATATACTTGCGTGTGCGTTTGGAAGCAACAAGTTTTGGCGCCGTTGCCGGGGACTTATTAGGATTAGCTATCTTTTTAGACTAGACTTTTACTTATTATCTTTTCAAGTTTTTATTTTAAGTTAAGTTTAATATTACTTATTTTTCATGGCATCTTTAAATGAAAAGTAGTGGAATGACATGTATTCTTGTTATTGTGATCCTTATCCACGTTGTATAGGGCCCCAATTGTGGCGACAATGCAAATATATTCCCAGGAGAGGAGTTGTGTGCACCATCTTAATCCTGTACTATTTGCGGTGGCTTTTGGAATAGTTGTCCTAAGTGTCGTTATCCTACCCAAATCCCTTGTTATGATGATTCTAATAACGAAGTGGACGATATGGAACATGATGCTCGTACGGATATGTACTTGCATTTATTAGAGGAATTGGGGTCTTCATGAGAAAATTACTGAAGGGATGAACCACATAATAAAAGAAAGAGCTGAATTGGGACAAGAGATCGACATATTTGGCACAACTATTTTACGACTTGGAGGCTCAATTGAGTGCAAAGGTTGTTGCGTCTAACGCCCAATAAAATATTGATGAGTTTGTGAAGCTGAAAAGGAGCTTATACGCCAAGTTGAGGAGCTAAAAGTGGAGCGTCAATCATTCGACCATATTTTTATTGATGATGCCTATGTTGAGAAAGATACACTAGAGTCATGTGAGGAAGTAAATAATGTTGCACTTGAAGACTCTAGTGTGTGTATATATGATGATGTAAATAGGAATATAATTCTAGAGTTTGGGCGTATTGGTCTTCATTCCATACATTTTTCGGCATTGTATTTGGATGATGACATGAAAATCGAGTCACATGAGCTTTTGGAGGAGTCAACGGACAAGGAACAAGGTGATTATATTATGGAATTTATTGCGACAGAAAGACTAAATCACATTCCTCATCTAAGGTCGAGAAGTGTAGAGTGAAAATTTTATTACTTGGCCTGGTTATCTTTTTAGCCCTACCACTAGA